GCTGCCTTTTTTCCAAAGGCAGCAACAACAACAAAAACATCGTTGCCACAGAGCACTTTTACGGTAAAAGTGGATTTTCTTTTGCGCCATTTTTGCGGCATTTTACGTTTCTTTCGTTTGCCGTTTGCCAGCTTGGCTTTTCTTTTCTCCCCCCATCCCCGCTCACACCTTGGAAGCCCAACTCGTTACCTGCATTCACCTGCTGCCTTCCTCGGCTTCGTCTCTTTAAGCTGCTCGAAACAAAGTGGTCCTCGTTTCTGCGTCCATCCGCAAAAATGTTTGTAGCGATACACACACACACACACACATACACACAGAGAGAGCAAGAGAAGGAGCCGCCAGGCAGCGCCTGCAGCTTATTTCTGGTTAAAAAAAAAAAAGAGTTCACCCAACAGCCATACCAAAGGCAGCCCGCCAATGCATTTGGGTCAGGGTTCCTGCTGCAGACGCATTGAAAGTTGCAGCTGACATAGAAATGCTAAAGAAATGCTCAAGAAATGTGCGAAACGATTGAGACTCGCCGAGGCAAACACATCTAAGAGTGGCTAATCTCACTTGATTTCCATCTAAATCGCAGCAATTGTGAATATTTAATAAGAGCACCCGAACAAGCTGCCTGAGAAATTTAATTAACCTGACTGAGAATTTCATTTGAAATGTGAATTAGTTTATATACATATTTGATGTGATAGTAACAAAGACTTTTGATTACTTCAGAGTCTCACATAATATATACATGGAAACATATTGTGTTAGCTGGCTGGCTTTAAGGCGGCCTTCACTTCAATATGCTTTCATGGTCTAAACAATAAGCGCTTTACTGCTATTTAAACAGTGCTCTTAGTTCCGCCCACTTGGACTGAGATATTGTAACAAGATTTACGGCGACTATAGGCTGAGGCAAAACCCACAGCCATGGCCATAACTATAAAGATAATCCGCGCTATTCAACAGACACAGCAGCAACATAAACACACACACACACACACACACACACACACACACACACACACACATACAAACACACACACACACACACACACACACACACACACACACACATACAAACACACACACACACGCAGAACAATTCCATGCGTATAGCAACAACAATCAAATCAACCAATCAACTGCCGATTACTTAAGCCATTTTCAATCAACACGGCAACACACGCACACACACACACACATACACACACACACGTAGAGCCGAATTACAAATCTCAAACGCACAATAAACGCAATTATACGTAAGCATAGGGAAGGAGAGCTAGTGGGAGGAGACAGGCGGCAGGAGGCGACAGGTGAAGAGTTAGTGGGCGTTCAAGAGAAATAGTCGGCCCGTTATGCATATGACCGCAGGCCACAAAAGGCGGCAAAGGAAATGAAAGCCAAGCGTACCACACACACACTCACACACACACACTCTCTCTCCTCTGCCAGTAAAACACGCGGGAGGCATTTCTGCATTGCATTCAGCCGATTGCTGCCTTCGCTCAATCAATCAATCATTCAATCAGTCAGTCCACACGCATGCATATTGCGAACATGATTCGAGTCAATTATGAGCTAGCAACGTTTTCGATAAGTGTCCCCAGCGGGCCGGCAACAAGCCCAGCATGCAATCAGCACTAAATTATTTGCGTCGAAAAACTAATCGAAACTTCATATCAATTTTCATACCTACATCTCCATGGTGGGGCCAGACAATCGCAGTCGCAATGCATAACAAATTGCGTGGTGCGAATTTGTGCGAATTTGATAGACAGCCATGTTTGCGTTTCATAAACTGTTTGAATTTGTGCTTAGCACACGTTCCATAAACGGGCATTAAATTACACCAATTGCTGAGCCGAATCAGAGAGAATTGAATCTGAGAATAACATTGGTATTAAAAGGCTAGTTGATATAGAAAATGTTATAAAAATAATTAATGAACTAAACATAGAATCATAATGCATATAATGTGATTCACATATGTAATATTCACATGTAAAAAAATCAAAAGAAAAAATTGCTATTTAGAATTAATTCTCTGTAACAAATAAATAAATAAATAAGGCTGGTTATAAAAGAATTTTTAGAGAATTAAATGACTGTGTATATAAGTAATATATTGAATTCCCAATTAGAGAATTAAATTACTGTGTATATAAGTAAAATATTCCCAATTAGATATGTTTTAGAACACATGCTTCGCTCCTATTATCTCTACTCTCTTTCTCCCTCCCTCTGGCTCTCTCTGTCTCTCTTCCTCCATCTCTCTCTAGCTTTAAATTAAAAATATTATACTGTAATATACTGAAAATTTCATAGAGCTACCTGGAATCCATTATACCAAAAATATAGATCCTTTTTCACTTTCCCACGAAACCAAAAAACCATGTACTTCGTATACCTGAAAAACGTCAGTCCAACTAAATTTTCCCTCTTGCATACAGTTTTTATTTAATATCATTTCTTTTATTTATAAAATATAAAATGAAGCTATACAAAAAATTCTGAACTAATTTTAGGTGTCTCCAACCTGAATGCCAGCTAAATCCATACGCCACCCACACAGTTGCCATAAATCCTGTTCCATTGACTCAAACTAACATTTTCATTACATTTCATGCTTTACAGAGATGTTTTTTCGGAACAGCAATTGCACAAAGGAAAAAGCAAGTCTCAGCTGTTTCTTTCACTTGACAGTTAAAACTTTAAGCCATTCCGAAATGCTGTCTTTCCGAATTCATAAAGTCCGTTTCCGGTCTTGTTTTGATACGTTTTTAAGTGGATTTGCTCTGTAGTTGACGCTGCTGCAATCCCCTTGCAACTCTCATTTTCATTATGTCATTGTCTTTAACATTTACCGCCCTCTATTTCCATTTCCATTTCCACTTTCAAGGCGTATCTAAAACTTTTCCCGACGGACGGTAAAATAAAGTTACAATTTTTATACCTATTTCGGATTTTTTTTCGGTCCCTCTGTCTTTGTTTCTGCGCCTCGACTTTATCCCCAATTCATCTGTTTTGCATATTTCTTTGTTATGCCTGTAGTATTATTTTCTTTTCTCGCTCTCTCTCTCTCTCTCTCTCTCTCCCCATCTCTCTCTCACTTTACTCCCCGCAGCTTTGCTCCTTTACGATTGTGTAACGTAATCTCCGCATGCTTTGTCCGTCCGGCTAGGCTATTCCCCCCCAAAAAAAAAGTCTGCCGTAAATATATGCAAATAAGTAGAATTTGTGCTTTAATTTGAACGAACTCAACTTTCGAGTATGACCTTCGCATTAAAGTTGAGCACAAACTTGAAGAAAAAAAAAAAAAAAAAAAAAGTTTGAAAAGTTCAAAAAGAACTAACGGCAGGAAGGCAAATAATGGAAACAAATGGGAAATATCATATAGCTTTAAGCGAAATGTGTTTGAGCAAAGCAAAGTAAATTGAAAGCAAATGAATCGGTTATAATGTGCTGGTCGGGTAGAAAATACCCTGTGAATGTTACAGTTGATGCCTTATATATAGCTTATAGGTAACTAATCAATTGAAATATACATCTAATCAAATTTCAATAATACTCAGCCAACCCTGACTCAGACTAGACAAAACACATATCTTTTCTATTTAAAGTAAATTCTTTTTCTAGTTGCTAATAAATAATTATAATTCCAAAAGATAGCCAGCTGAAATAAGTTTGAAAATTTCATAAAATTCATTTTCAATGTCTTTGGGTTATGTCATGATTACATATCACATCAAACTGTTAGCCCGGCCCAGAAGATGGACATGTGTCTGTCAATTGATTTGGTCAAAACTAGTTGACAACTGTTATTAGTCGAGGTCTCGCATGTTGTCTATAAATCTTAACAGGGTTTTTTTTCGGCTGCCAGTAATTTGGTAGAGTGTCATATATTTGTACACATTGTATATGAATTCGTAGCAATAGTTGATAAACGCTCTGATAACCTGCAGATAAGTGGACTAATAAAGCCGATTGGTCAACTATGGCCAATTCTAAATGATTCATGGGAGAAACGTTACAGCTTTAGATATAGATTATACCGCAATAAATGTTAGTTGTAGCAACAAAATATGCTTGATAATAGAAATTTCCAGAAAAAGGGCAATTAAAAAAATTTACTTTATCAGAGTTTAATTTAATTTATATAAAGAGACGTCAAAGCAAGTTTAAAATGAGTCATGGGCAAATATAATGGGAATGTGAATAAATTTAGTATATACATATGTGTATATATTTGTGTGTTTGACAGATAAGCCTCAACAACCTTGTCATATGATAGCCAACACAAGAGAAATGCAAACAAAACAAAACATCGTCCGATAAGCCACAAAAATGTATCAGGAACAAGCCAAATGATCTTAAGTAGACAACGATTGACGATGTATATACTCAGTGATCTCGATTATAATATAGGTAGAATATTGAGTTTAATTAAATCAATATGTTTGGAGCATGAATTGAATTGGTTTAAGTGAATTTGTTAATAATTCCAATTTAAATAAATAATAAAAAAAATTGTTATAAGCTAAATATTGATATAGATAAAAAGTAAATAAAATAATAAAAGATAGAAAAATAAATAAATATAAATAAAAATATAAAACAACAAATATGGATTAGGAAACGAGCAATTTTTCTACTCTCAGTGACAATTCAAAACATATGTGAAATAATAAATGCATTTTGTTTTAATCAAATAATACCTTAAGTAAGAATGACTTAAATAATTTTCGATTTGCGCTAGAATTCATAATTAAAACTGAATTAAAATATTCTACTCTAGTCAGCTGTCTTATTCACTCAACTTTTACAATAATCAATAAACAACTTTTATGCCTTAAGCCTACTACAGGGTATAAGAGCCCCTTGAAAAGGTTCAGCTCTTGACTTTTCAGTCTTAGCGGCACTTCTCACTTCTAATGCAGTTTAGAAATATTGGAAGGAAATTTCTGAAGTACCGTCAATTGACTTGAAAATTGCTGCGTTCAGCGTAATGACAAGTTTCAGTTCGGTTTTAGGTGGCAAAGTCAAAGGGTGTTGCGAATATGTTGTCAACGAAAGCTGTTATCCTTTTGCTCTGCTGCTCCTTAGCAGCTGCCAGCGAGCTGCAGAAAGGAACTGTGAGTGGCTCAGCGCCTCGCAATTGCTACAGCTGCGAGGGCGTCAATTGTCAGCGAACCACGCGGCAGAATGCGACAGTCAGGTGCAACGATCTGCTGGATATTTGTGTGACTGTCTACGAGGGCTGTAAGTAAATCGAGTAGTTTAAGCAGACCGGAATATAAAAATAATAGAATATGCGTCACAGTTAGGGTCAGTGAGCGGGGCTGCCTGCTGGAAATTTCGCTAGCTGCGCGATCCAAGTGCCAGGCACGCGATCCGCAATGCCAAAAGTGCACCGGAGATCTGTGCAATAATCAAGGACGCGTCGACTATCAGTGCATACAGTGCAACGGCTCAGATGTGAGTATTAAGTATTTGTAGAGTCAGATTACATAATTTCCTATTGCTTTCATTCAGGACGCCAAGTGCAACTTGGGCGGCGACAGCATCAGCCCCGCCCAATGCCCAGCGCCCACGGGCAACAACGCCTATTGCTATGTGAAGGCCTCTGGCTCACATCTGCAAAGAGGCTGTGCTCTGAGCGCCAAGGAGCAAATGAGCTGTCTTCAGGCTAGCGACTGCAGCCTGTGCCTGCCCGAGAACGGGCGTGGCTCCACTGCGTGCAACAATTACGTGCTGGACTACAAAGCCAGCGGTGCCCAGGGACAGCAGGTGTTTGGCTTACTGCTGGGCCTGATCACTCTGCTAACCATACAATTCAATTAGTGTAATTTGAAAATTAAAAAAAAAAAAAATATTATCAATGTAATAAAGATAAATAAACAAGTAAATAATTATTTGATTGCCAATTTGTGTTTTATAGGTTGCTAAGAACAAATATCAATTGAGCTATATAACATTTATTAAGCATCATTAAGCCGAGTAACGTAATGAAAGGCAGTGGGAAAAACTTAATTTGGGAGCTGTTCATATTGAGTGAGATAATATTTGTATACTTGATGGAAACTCTAGAAGCATTAAAAATATTACTTATATACAGATGAAAAAAGTGTAAAAAATATTAAGTATAAGTAAGTTTCATATTTTATATTATATTTTACTAATTAAAACTTTTAAAATCATGTCCAATATTATAATTTTTTTTTATTATTATTCTAAACAACATATAAAATATATGTATAAATAGGGGAAGTACGTTCATTATCCAAGTATAAAATCTCGCTTGTAAATAATGGCATAGATAATAACAATGTATAATGCTGCCTATATTAAGTTTAGTTAGGCTTCAAAGTTATATTTAGAATGAATTAATTCAAATTGACATTTGTCAATTATTTGAAACATTTCAAATATATAAATCAAAGTCTCTTATTGCAGACAGACGAACGCTGATTAATCCTGCTTATCACTCTAACTGATTATTCTTCGCATTGGCTATAAAGTGAACCAAAATAAAGCCAATAAATACTTCAGCACATAATACTCATGTTTTATATTTAGAAAATGTAAGTATGGTTTACTGTATATACATTTTTAAAGTAACAGAAAGCTAAAATATTTGATTAAATAGCTAAACAAAAAAAAATAATAATAAAATAAAATAAAATAAAATAAAAATCTTTAAAAATGAATTCTATATAAATAAAGAGATACAAAATTAATATTTTATTCAAAATATACATAAAAATATATTTATTACGCGTCATTTTCTGCGACCCAGTAAATAGATTCTGCACAGAAATATATGAACATGTATTAAATATTATATTTAATATATTTAAAAGCTTCAAAATGCATACTAATAATTCTAATTATAACACTTTAATAGATAGATACATAATAATATATATACATATATATTATATAATATTTATATATTTATATATATATAGTATATTTATATAATATATAATATATAATAATATTTATAAATTATAACAAACTTTGATAGAGATATCTCTTAAATCTGCACAGTTACTCATCAATTACGAAACCTAACAGCTGCAGCTGGGTGGGAGCTAGAGCTCTCCCACCTGTCGAGTGTTTTGCCGACATGAAGTGCACTTCACATGGCAGCGAGGGTATAAAAGTCAAAAGCATTGGCCGCCAGCTCGTAGTTAAAAGCGCATCATGAAAGTCAAAGCAATGCTCAGTGCGCTGCTGTTGCTCGTCCTTGCGACAGGATACAGTGATGCCAACAAAATCACGAGCTGTCACAGCTGCAGCGGCATCAACTGCCAGCGAACGGGACTGTCTCTGGTGCAGAAGTGCGTGGACTCGCTGGATTACTGCGTGACCATCTACGACAATTGTAGGTTATAGGAGCTCTTCCAGTCTCCCTCTCTCTATCTCTTTCTTCTCTTTATATATTAATTTTTAAATATGCAGCCAAAGTCCTGTACAAAGGCTGCTCGCTAGAAATACCCGCTAAACTGCGCCATCGCTGTGATTCACCTCACGATGATTCGTGCTTCAAGTGCAACTCGGACAACTGCAACAACGTGGGCTCCACGAGGTTCGCCTGTGTGCAGTGTGACTCCAGCAAGGTATGATGCCCATTTCGGTCTGTTTGTCGATTTGTATTAAATTCCCTGTGCACTCACAGGACGCCAACTGCGCTGAGAACGCAACCAGCTTGAAGCCCACAGTTTGCACAGCTCCAACTGCTCCCAACTCCTACTGTTATGTGAAGGCCTCTGGCTCGGGCAGCAACATTCAGCGCGGCTGCTCAACCACGGTGACCGATCAGCAGAGCTGCTTGCAGGATGCCAACTGCCTGCTCTGCTCCTCCGGCGATATTCACGCCTGCAACAGCTTGAATATTACATTCGATTCAAACACTGGCAATCGCTTCATTCGCTTTTTGCGATAGTTTTAATGTTGCTAAAAAAGAAAAAAGAAAATAATAAATGAATTAACAATTATAATATGCTTATAAAGTATAATTGATTTATATCTTGGAATTTTAATGGCATTTTAAAAACACTCTAACTGTGGCAGACTTTGCCAGATAAGATATCCAAATGGCACAGACTTGGCAGCGTGAATCAAAGTTGATGTGGTTAAGGAGTCATACATCATATCAAATTTTTGCGTTAGTTTTGGATACATAAGATTAATCAACTGTATATCTGAAACTGATATTTATTGAGATAAGATAAATGTGCAATCGATCCTGAAATGAGGAATGAGCTCTATAGACTGCATATCTGACTTTTTATATGCAATTGTTGATAAAGTCTATCACAAATGGATATATTTGTTATCGCTGCTATATGTTTATCATTTGATTGATTACCTATTTCTATTAGCAATTGTCATAAGACTGTCTAGAAGGTAATTGATTTGATTCGAATATGCTCTTTTTATAAGAGATACTAAAGTATTGTAATCCGCAAACTTTCAAAATTTTATTTAAATTTCCTACTTTTAATTCGTCACCCAACGAAAGTCAAATAAAACTGAAATTTTTTGGTGAAATGCTGAAGTATGGAAAAAATTCCATTTTATTTGTAAACATGTTTATTTGCTTTCGACTAGGGAAGACCCCATAATGCTGCCCATTAAAATGGCTAGTTGAGTGGCTCATGAATTTGCCAAAGAAGCCAAATGCTGAACTGCTGTTTACACAATTCTCAAGAGCAATGCAAACAATTACGAACAGTCATCCACTGAGCTTTATTCGGTTATCAATCAGCTTGACTTTGGCAGAGGTAGTTTTCGATACTTGTGCGGCTGTTAAGAAACTTTAAAGAGCCGACCAGCTAAACTACTTGGGGCCAACACTTAAGCACATCAGCCGACACCCTTGATTGCCATGGAGTTTATATAAGGCGTAGGGCACCTAATCGCCAATCCAAATGCCCAAGGCATCAGTTGCAATGTTGACTAGGAAGTGTGCGATTCCCTGCATTCTATTGGCTTTGCTCGGCTCCAGCTGTGTCCTGGCATCGGAGTCATGTTTCTATTGCCGCGGCATCAACTGTCAAAGGAGCAGCTATCAGGCCACAGAGCAGTGTGTCGATCAGCTCGATGCATGTGTCAGTGTATTTGAGGGGGGCGTGATTAGGGCGCAGGGCTGTCTGGAACGACTAGACGACAGCTGGCGAAAGCAATGCGAGACCAAAGCGCACTCCCGATTGCAGTGCGAGATTTGTGTGAGCGAAAAGTGCAACAATATTAGCCCCCCTCAGCTGTCCTGTGTGCAGTGTAAGGATACGCAGGTAAGCAAAGAGCCAAGAGTTATTCAGTATAAGCCTTAAGCTAAAGAGAATTTGTCTTCAAGGATGAACAATGTCGAACTGCTCCAGAGCAGCTGGCGGCACAAACCTGTGGCATAGCTCGCAGCGGACGCAACCTGTGCTATGCGAGCATCAGGAACCAACAGGTCGAGAGAGGTTGCTCACTAACATTAGCTGATCAGCGCACTTGCCTGGCCGATATCAATTGCCAGCTCTGCGACCCATCGGAAATAGAACATTGTAATGCTCAGCCTATCGAGGAAATAGAAGAGACGACCTCCACGAGCACAACTGAATCGAGCTCAACTGCATCGAGTTCCAGTTCTAGTTCCAGTTCAAGTTCCAGTTCCACGTCAACTAGTACCACTACAGCTACTACCACTGCTAGCCCAACAACTACTACCACGCCAACCACAACGCCTCAGCCCGGCAGTGCTCAAAGCTTGTGTACGAAAAATATTCCCATTTTGCTATTGGCTTTGCAGCTGGCTATGTATTTTTATGCCTCCAATAAATAATTTGGGCGAAAAAAAATATCGTTGGATTTTGGGTTCCCACGACCTTCTCTCAGTCATAAAACCAACTAATAATCATTAAGCGACTGTTAATGTTCATAAATAACGATTAAGTACTTAATAAGACCTATAAATATATAAATATACAATTATATTTATATATTATATAGGGCTTACAATGCTCAGCATATAGAGATAACTAAAATTCAAATTAAGTTTAATCCTCAAATACTTTCCTTCTTTTCTTCCATAACAAACAACACTTGTATAGTTAGTCTTAATAAAAATTCAGCTTATCTAGGGAATTCAAACGAATTATGCAATTGGAGCCCAACATCTAAGACGTTCAAACACTTTCGGTACAAATAAACCCCAATATAAAAATTAATCTAAACTTGATTAGAAGAGATTAAAGAGCATCGTAAAATAATAGAGGAAAAACCGAGAGGGATATGAAACGCATGGTAACAACATAAGGAATGATACGGAAATTCCACGAAAAATTTGACCAAGATGATAAGAGGTCAACGATTAGAACACCCCAAAGGCAAAGAACTTCCTGAAACCCTACAAGCGATCAAAGGCACATAGCAAGTTTATCAATTGATAAGATTTGAGTGCAGCGATACTGGAAATTGTTATTATTGCGCCTCCAAATGCGCTTCCCAACTGTGTAACTGTGAATCAGTAGACAATAAATGTCTACATAATACCAATAAAATCAATATAAATACATATACACGTGCGTGTTTATAGGTGAAGTTCGGACCTGCAATCCACATATTAAATTGTTGCCTTGTCGCCGCCTTATCTCATCAAATTCGCCAAAATGACGAAAATCGTGAAACTAGAAGCGAGAATCGAGCTATACGAGTGTAAACGTGTATCGGCCCGATTCTGAGTGATTAGAGCAAAACATTTTGTCGGCTTATCTGGCGCATTGTTTTTGCTTTTTATGTTAATTCCCCTTACTAAATACGCACTTGCAGTGGACAGCCGGTGGGGGCGGGGCGATACGGGTGCTGTAGGCGATGGATGTTATAAATAACGGCGAGCAGAAACTTACTTTATCGGACATTCGGCAACAGTATCATATAATCATAGTCGTTAATATAAGGCAATAATCGTGGAACGACTCACTATGAAATGTACATTCGACAAATCTATAAAAGGTGCCCCAAACCCAGCCACAAAATTAGTCGACCGATTCCACGTTTGTTGGTAATACGCGTCGGGTAAAAAAAAAAAGCCCATCGATCATGAGGCTGAAAACAGCAGGGATAATAACTCTGCTACAAATAGTATTATATGTGGCTAATCCAAGTGGTAGGTCAAGTCAAGTGTGATCAACAAGGATAATTTGTTAATTCAAGTGTTGTCAATCGGAAAATCCGTATATATATTCGATTTCATATTGTAGAAATCAGTTAATGGATTATCAAAATCGAATTCTAAATACACGTGGTGTATTATATAATCCAGTTGTGTTTAACTGAAAAATAAAATATATATGCATTTATATATTTTATACATAATCTATCAAAGTGCTTAATAGTGTTATCAATAAATGGAGAATCATAAACAAATTTTATTGCAAAATGTCACGTAGCTTAACGAATTGCTCAAAGCTAAGCAGCTTGTGCAGCTTTCTGAAACGGAAATAGAACTATGGAAAGTACTACGAGAAGGATATGATACAGTGAACAATTGGAGAACTAAAATAAATATAATACTAATATTTTTATGCTATTTTTTAAAGAGAAAAATCAATTGAATCGAAGCAAAAATTAATATGTATAAATGTTTGTATGTATAATATATAATCAATACTATATATGAATGTGCCGACTTGATACGGTTACGGCGGTTATAGCAAAGCTCCGGCTGAAGGCTTTTATGAACTTTAGATTATGTGAATTTGTGAAATATTATGCCAAAAAATATAAACTTTCTAGGAAATACTACAAACCGAACATAATCACAAAATTTATTGCCAGTGTTGTAAAAAGAGAAAAGAGTAGCAATAAATTCTACACAAAATTTCTCTTGATAAATTAAAGTAAACCCAAGTATATCTATGATAAGCTGAAGATAAACTAATAAATACATACATACATACGAAGTTGAAGCATTATTTCGACTAAGCTGTTGACCAAAAATACTATCTAAATTATGACATTCTGAGAATTTTAAATGACGTATTTTGACACAGTTTACACCAAGTTTATTAAATATGTCATATTGGCAATTGATCAATAACATATGAATTTATTTATTATATATATATATAAATTTTATTTATCAATTACCTGGATATATTTTTGACAGCGTTGTCGGTGTGTTCAATCAAGTTCAGCTGACTGCTTTTAAAGGTTGTCAGTCAAACTGCTGCACAAATATATAATTTCATGTTGAAAATCTACAATTGAATTGTCAGAATCTAGTTTTACGAAACTTTGCCTTATTAATGTATATATTAGATTTTTATATTTAAAACATTTTAATATATATAGAAAATATTTTCAATATATAAGAAACGACAAATAAAAATATATTGATTAAAATAATGAAAAACACACTGAATATATACACAAAATGCCAATCGTAATTTTCTTTTGCTACAGTCCCTTTAAAAGAAAATAAGTTTACTCAAGTATTTGAAACATTATCGACTGCATTTACAGCAACTTGAAATATTTCGTAAAGAAGATGTTGAAATCATTACGATTTCTAATCATATTGTAATACTCGCACCTTAACGAAATCAAAGTGATTTACAAAGATTTAGTGCGTGGATAGTTTATGGGGGCTTGGTTCCCAGAGTTGGACTTTGGCTATAGCTATCGACCTTGTGTGAAGCGTGTGCCTCAAACTGATTGAAAGATTATCTTGTGATATTTGAATTAGATTAGGATTAATCTAAGGGGAATTTCAAGTTTCCAAATTATTTGATTATGTTCTCAATAATTTGGTGTGCTTTGAAAGAGTATATTGCTTTCACTTTTAATTGACTTAAAGTAGTCTCAAGTTTTGCTAGGTTTTCTGGTATTTTATGCTCATATACAACCCGCACCCAAAATGCTATCTCCAGCAATTAGCAATGTACGTTCGCGCGTTGTAAATCGATAAAGCAATTTGATTACCGACCATAAATAATACGGCTATAGTGTTTTGCCGATAAAACTAACCGCTAGATTAGTGAAAATTTATGTAGCAGTGTATATTTATATTTGCCTTAACGTGTTTTTCCAGCTTTACACAGATTTCACAGAAAGTAAAGCTCTGTCTGTTACTCGAATGGCTTCTCAATTATATTCGAAAAGTATGAGATATAGTAATTTGTTGTTGAACGCAAATGAGTGACTGGAAATACTTACTAGACAGATTCCAGCAATTTTTATTGATCTACAATAATATACCAGATCTTATCAAATCATTATAAATAGCTAGAGACTAAAAGCATGCAGGAGATTATTAAATAATTCTACTTTTATATAATATAGAATTTGTTTACTAAACAATACTTAAGTTAACAAACAATACTATAATCAGAGAACTTAAATGTTCCAAAATTGCAATCGAAAAGCTCTACATATTTTTCCACCTCATTGCAGATGCCTGGCCACATAGCTGGCATAACGGTCCCATAAATTGTTACATCTGCACCAGCCCGGAGCAGTGCTCGGCCAGCACGGGCCAACTGCAAAAGTGTGAGGATAACGATGCTCAGAGCTGCGTGGCCGTCTTCGATAGCACTGGAGCGGTCATTCAGCGTGGCTGCAGCGATAGCCTGGAGGCCACGTGCAGCGCACAGGATGCCGACTGCTACGAGTGCCGTTCGCATGGCTGCAACAATCTGAAGGACAACAAGCAACTGATTGAGTGTGTGCTGTGCGATGCCCAGGATGACGAAAACTGTGTGTTCGACATTGAGCTGGTGACAGAGCGACGAACCTGCAATGAGAAGTGCATCACAGCGCTGTATCCACGCACCAGCGACAAGGACTCGCCCTTGGAGCTTGTGCGCACCTGCCTGGACGATCTGGACCTGGACGATCGAGAGGAATGTGCGGCGGGTCTTTTCGCCAACTGTGTCGCCTGCGACAGCGCCAGCTGCAATCAAGCTGAGCTCGGCGTGCGCGGCAGCTGCAACGCCTGCACCGGCGGCAACTGCGACCGGCCGGAGTCGAAGACGTGTCGCGCCGTTGTTCCCAGCGGCGCGGAGCAGTGCTTCATACAGCTGGACGAGAGCAACAAGATCGATGAGTACGGCTGCTTCAGCCAGTACAACGTGAGCGATGCCGCAGCCCTGCAGAGGGAGAAACGCATCTGGACCTGCTCGGGAGAGAACTGCAACGTGCCCTCGGCTCTGCCCACACCCAAATATTGCAAACTGTGCAGCTCGCGCACCGACAAGAACTGCGCCGTCGACCCGAGCAACTTGCTCACCGAAAGCGAATGTTTTCATCCCCTGAACACCGATTGCTATACCCTGCTCCGCGACGATGGCCACACGGAACGTGGCTGCCTCACCAGCCTGGACGAAGATGACTATCTGGAGTGCTTGGGCGGCAGCAATGCCACCAAGTGCAGCACCTGCAATGGCGATGCCTGTAATGTTCAGGTAAGTGCTCAAGTTGTGGATGAAATTTAAGATTTCCTTTTGGAGAAGGTACTGCTGATATCCATATATTAATATAATATAGTCTGTTGATACCGATATAACACTATGCGTATCGATAGACACACGTGATACCTTAGTATATTTGTATATTACATGCCAATATGTGAGCTAAAAAGGATTTCAAGACGAACGATATTAGCTATTCGGATGAAAAGTTACCGAATCAGGACAATTAAAAATATACTATAGGCACTTCCTTTAGACTACCATGCATATAGATTAAATCTTCATTTCATTAATTAATCAATAGTTGCTTAATGAAATCGCTCATCGAAATAGATTTTAATATAAGTTAAAAGTTGACATATTAAAGTAGAATCCGGTTATGGCGACGCTCAAGGGGCCGTCCTTATATCCGGAAGAGACTATAAACATATAAGTTTATTTATTTAATTTTTTCTTGGGACCCGAATTTTCGTCGGAATAACAGTACGAACGCTATAAGCGGAATCTTTATAGCCGGATTCTACTTCATATTATTTATTCCAAGTCTGATAAGGCAAATGTTTACTTGACAATTTTACTAAAAAACACAAAATTCAAATTATCGCCAATTAACTGAAACTTTGGAAATATTAAATATGTATAAAATAAATAATATTTATTATATCCGTGGGAAGTATCGCTTGGCTCGATCTAATTTACCATTATTCATCCTCTATGACTAAGAACCCTACAAAAATTCTCCTTAACGAAAAGAAATTCAGTTGAATCATATCAAAACTAGCGGAAGGGAAGATAAGCTGTAGATTATGAAACTAGCTGAGTAGTAAATCTATAAGAAAAAAAAAAAAAAAATTAACTAATTATTATTTATACTCTATTTATTATATATTTATGGAATTACTATTCATTCATTATTCATATTGCTCTTTATTATTATTATTATTATTATTCATTATCATCTTATACTATTATAATTATTGTCTTGAAATTATTTTAACTAACATTATTATTTTTGTAAATCTCATTTACATAACCCTAATGCCAATCTACAAATGATTCACACTTATTTCCTCCACAGCTCCAACCTGCTGATCGTCTAACGTGCCACATCTGCGACTCCAGTGTGGACAGCAGCTGTGAGAAGTCGCCCAATGCCGCCAAGCTCTGTGTGCTGCACTCGCCTAATCAGAGCTGTGTGACCACGCTCGATAAGCAGGGCAACACGCTGCGCGGCTGTGGCGGCGAACTGGACTGCCTCAGCTCCGACAGCGCCAGCTGCCAGCGCTGCACGGGCAACAACTGCAACACGGCCAATCTGGCCAGACGCGCCGACGGTCGTCCTGGTCTGTGGGGCCAGGAGCTGCCGCTAAGCTGCCTCAACTGTAGCGACGCCGCGAGCTGTGCGTCCAGCAGCCTGGAGAGCACCGTCTGTGCCAGCAAATCCGAGTATTGCATGACGGTCTTTGATGCGAGCGGAGCGGTCAGTGCGCGCGGCTGCAGCAATGTGGTAGAGGCGTCGTTCAGCTCGTACTGCGATGCCAACAGCGAGAACTGCCACAACTGCAACTCGAATGGCTGCAACAGCGCCACATCGCTGGACAGCTACACGGAGTGCGTCTACTGCGAGGCTGGCCAGAACGCCGACTGTGTGACGAACCCCACAGCCGTGACGGCCAGACGCCAGTGCAACGGCCAGTGCATGTCGGCATACAAGCCGCGGAATAGTTTGGGTGTGTATGAGCTGGTGCGTGGCTGCTTGGACGACAAGGAGCCGGAGGATCAGCAGCTGTGTGCCTCAGGCGGCGACAAGGAGTGTGTGGCCTGTACAGGCAACGCCTGCAACACGAACGATCTGAGCAAAAGCTCGCTCAGCTGTTACGCGTGCAACGAAGATCTGGACTGCCAAGACCCAGCAACGGCCGTGTGCCTCAACTACAGTCCCACAGATCGCTGTTATATGCTGTTCGATGAGACGGCCTCGGTAACGGCGCTCGGCTGTCAGTCCGATCTGGACGAGAAATTTATCGATGATAATCTAGAGAAATTGATTTTCTGCGAGGGAAACAATTGCAACTTCTTTGACATCGTGCCCAGGCCCAACGACTGTGCCGTCTGCTCCTCATTTGATGATGTCAACTGTGCCGTCGATCCCACGCAGATCACGCGGTTCGAGACGTGCAACGTCCTGCCCAACACTCGCTGCATGACCCGTGTTCTCACAGGTGAGTTGGACAGCAGCTCTCTCTAGTTTTGTTCTCCAATGAATTCTCAATTTCAATGTCCCAGATGGCTCAACGGAGCGCGGCTGCTTAAGCAACTTGGCCACAGCTGCGCTGAGGGCCTGCCTGAAGGGCGAGGGCAACTGTGATTTGTGCGAAGGTGATTTGTGCAATCAGGAGATCTATCCGGCGGATCGTCGTCGCTGTCAGCGCTGCAACACGGTGCAGGATCCCACATGCGGCTCTGCGCCGAATGCTGCCAGTGTCTGTCCGCGGTACGACGAGAGCCAGGGCTGCAGCGTCAAGTTGGTAAACGGCGAAACCTACAGAGGCTGCCAGTCGGAGTTCGAGTGCGACGATTCGGACAAGCAGTACTGCCGCAACTGCAAGGGCGACAACTGCAACGTGGCCGACCTGGAGCTCATCAACATTGGCTATCCGGGCAAATGGGTGACGCCGCCGATCAATTGCTACATCTGTGCGGGCGTCAATTGCCAGGGCAGCGGTTTGGGTGCCCTGCAAAAGTGCCACGACAACAATCAGCAGAACTGTGCGACCGTCTTTGCCAGCAATGGCTCGGTAGTGCTGCGCGGCTGCACCGATCAGCTGTATGAGGATACGGATCTAACGCAATATTGCGACGAGAACTCCGGCAATTGCAAGTTCTGTAAATCGTCGGGCTGCAATAATGCCCAACAGCTGGCGGACTATGTGGACTGTGTGCTGTGCGACGGCAGCGAGCAGGCTGAGTGTGTGCGCAGCATTGGTGACGTGAAGCGTCAGGTCTCCTGCCAGGGCAGTTGCTTTACGGGCCTCTATCCGCGCAATCGAACTGAACTGGATTCGCCACTGGAGCTGGCGCGCGGCTGCCTGGACGATCTGGACTATGACGATCGCTTGGCCTGTGCCGAAGGCAGCCTGGAGCATTGTGTGTCGTGCAGCGGTGCCGCCTGCAACAAGGAGGCGGTGCCCGAGACCCGCCTGAGCTGCAACTACTGCGACGACGAGAACTGTGAGACGGTCAGCTCGCACACCTGCACCGCCTACAGAGCGAACGACGAGTGCTACATTCATGTCGGAGATAGGCGCATCGAGAGCATGGGCTGTGCCAGTGATCTGCAGCGTTCCTTCCTGCAGGCCAATCGTCGCGACCTCTACCTATGCAGCGACGATAACTGCAATGTTAAGGATGTTCTGAATCTAGATGGCGTCATCTGCAATGTTTGCAATTCCGGAACTTATCCAAATTGCATCCTAGGTCAGTCCGTGCTCGCCGCCCTCTGTGAACATTACCTGAATCCCGAATGCTACACTCACATCACCGAAGGTAAGTGACTTTCTCAATTCAGGGACAATTCATTCTGAGATTCCCTCCGATAGATGGCGTTTTACGGCGAGGCTGCCTCATGGACACAGCCGACGACCTCTACGACGACTGCCTGAGTGGCAACAGCTCAACTTGTCAGGTCTGCGACTCCCACTATTGCAACAACGAGGTGTTCCCCCCGGATTGGCAGAGCTGTCTGCGCTGCGATTCCAGGGATGACGCCGACTGCGAAAGCAAGCCCGAGGCCTATGCCGGCTACTGTCCGCTCTATGAGGCTGACGATGGCTGTGTGACGAGTCTGGAGGATGGACGCACGCGTCGCGGCTGCAAGTCGGAGATCTACTGCGATCCCGGCCAGGTGGCCAGCTGTCGCATCTGCGAGGACGCCAATTGCAATGCCGTCGATTTGGGCAGCAGCTATGTGGGCGAGCCGGGCAAGTGGCAGGATTTGCCATTGGACTGTCTCGTCTGCTCCGATCTGGAGAGTTGCGCGAGCGTGAGCACGCCCACGACCTGCCAGGGCGACAACAAGCAGCTCTGCAGCACCGTATTCAATGCGGATGGGCAGGTGATAGCCCGCGGCTGCAGCAATGCGATCTTTACCGAGCACCTCGACTACTGTGAGGCGAACAGCAGCAAGTGTCCGCAGTGCAAGTCGAATGGCTGCAACAATGCCAAGAGCCTGGACGACTATGTCGATTGCTATCAGTGCGATGCCGAGCAGGAGCCGAGCTGTGCCTGGGAGACGCCCAAGAAGACGCGCCAGTGCCAGGGCCAGTGCATGACGGGCATGTATCCACGCAGCTCCGCCGCGGACTCAGCGCTGCTGCCCACTCGCGGCTGCCTGGACGATCTGGAGCTGGCTGACCGCGAGCAGTGTGCGGCGGGCAACCATGCCAACTGCACAGCCTGCACCGGTGCTCTGTGCAATACCGGGGATATCATAGAGACGCCGCACGAGTGCTACAAGTGCCTGGATCCCGAGTGCGAGGACATGGAGAAGGCCAGGTGTGTCGCCTACAGGCCGAACGATCAGTGCTACTTGGCATTCGACAGCATGAGCATCGTGGGCATGGGCTGCGTCAGTGACTTTGAGACGCAAGTGGTCCACGAGCTGGTGGCTCAGCAGCGTCTGCTGATCTGTGACGGCCTGAACTGCAACCATCCCGACATCATACCCAATCCCAACAGCTGCCTGCAGTGTAATTCCCTGACTGAGCCGCGCTGTGCCACCAATCCCAATCAATTGTTAACCACCAGCATCTGCTCCATGATCCCCTACACCCAGTGCGTCACGCACATCGATGCCGCTGGCACAACCTCACGCGGCTGCGTTTCGAACTTGGACAGCGACGAATTCTATGGCTGCATCATGGGCACCTCCGACAACTGTGAGGTGTGCACGGGCACCAACTGCAACGGGCTCACCGTGTTTCCCGCCAATCGACGTCGCTGCCATCAGTGCGACTCGGCGAGCGATGCCAGCTGCGCGTCAGCGCCCAGCAGCAGCGCCGTCTGCCCCATTTATGAGGCCGAGGACACGTGCGTGACGACGCTGCTCAATGAGGTGACCTATCGCGGCTGCAGCTCCAGCTTGAGCTGCTCGGATCCCAGCAATCCGAGCACCTGTCGCGTCTGCAGCAGCGGCAATGACTGCAACACGATCAACCTGGAGCGCTTGAACGAGCACGGCTCGCCGGGCACCTGGCAGGAGCCGCCCATTAGCTGCCTGAGCTGCGGCAGCGCCAGCGAGTGCGCTGCGGGCGGCGGCCAGTTGACGCAGTGCGTCGGCAAGGACAACTGCGTTACGGTCTTCGATAGCATCGGCGATGTGGTCACCGCACGTGGCTGCAGCAGCGATCTGGATGCGACCAGCGCCGATTACTGCGATGAGCAGCCCGACAATTGTCCGCGCTGCAACTCCAATGGCTGCAATGTGGCCAACACTCTTAAGGACTATGTGGAGTGCCTGGTGTGCGATTCGAGTGTGAATCCCAACTGTGTCCAGGACGTGGCGACCATCACCCGGACACGCTCGTGCCATCAGCGCTGTGTGTCCGCCTTCCTGCCCCTCTTCGATGAGGCCGAGAATCCGAGCTACGCTCTATTGCGCAACTGCTTTGATGATATTGAGGAGGCGGATCGCCAGACTTGCGGCACGGACGCCAACAAGTTCTGTGCCAGCTGTGCGGATGACAAGTGCAACACGGCGGATCTGGTGGCCACACGGCACAGCTGCCTGCAGTGCCGCTACGACGACTGCCAGGATGCCCAGCCGGCCGTTTGCTCCAACTATCGGGAGATCGATGAGTGCTACATTGAGTTCGATGAGCAGCGCTCTGTGGTGGCTCTGGGCTGCCTCAGTGAGCTCAGCCTTGGCGACATTTACGTGCTGCAGCTCTCGAAGCGTCTAATCCGCTGCGCGGACAATAATTGCAATTCGATAGAGTCGCTGCCCGAGCCGCAGACCTGTGTCCTGTGCAGCTCGCGCACGGATCGCAATTGCGCCGTGAATCCGAGCAACGTGAACAGCGCCACCAGCTGCCAGCTGACGGGTCTGCCGGAGTGCTATACCCGTGTGCTGGACGATGGCGCCACGGAGCGCGGCTGCCTCTCAAGCCTGGAGGAGGACGAGTTCCTGGGCTGCTACAATGGCACTGCCTCGGGCTGCGCCTCCTGCTCCGGCGACTTGTGCAACAAGGAGCTGTACCCCGCCGATCGCACCTTGTGCCACATTTGCAACTCGGAGGCCAATGCCAGCTGCGAGTCGGCGCCCGACAGCCTCTCCGTGTGCCCCGTGTACGCCGAGGGCGATTCGTGTGTGACCAATCTGCGTGCCGGCATCACCTACAGAGGCTGCGCCACCGAGCTGAGCTGTGAGCCCAACTCGAAGACCTGCGTCATCTGCCAGGGCAACGGCTGCAATGTGGCCGATCTGTCGGCCCAAACGGACGACAATCACGGCTGGTGGCAGGATCTGCCCCTCACCTGCCTCAGCTGCGAAGGCGCCGCCTGCCAGCAGGAGAGCAGCAGCCTCAGCACGGAGCGCTGCGCGGACAACAACGAACAGGATTGCATAACCGTCTTCGACGCGTCCAATGTGGTGATCCGCCGTGGCTGTGAGGATACCATCGATGCGGATGAGCAGCTCGCCAGCTACTGCAGCAGCAACAGGGCCCAGTGCCCGCTGTGCAAGTCGAACGAGTGCAACAATGCGACTGAGATCACGCAGTACAACAGCTGCATCTACTGCGACAGCACCAAGAGCAAGTCCTGCCTGTGGGAGCCGACGAGCACGGCCCATCGACGTCGCCAGTGCCAGGGCCGCTGCATGTCGGCGCTGTTTGGCAGCGCCGAGGCCGGCCTGGATCTGGTGCGCACCTGTCTGGATGACAAAGAGCCGGCGGATCAGCTAATCTGCGCCAGCGGCAACGACGAGCACTGCGTGGCCTGCGCCGGCGAGGACTGCAATGTCCAAGCTGTGCCCGCTGACCGGCTCAGCTGTTATCACTGCGAGGGCGCCAGCTGCGAGGAGCCGACGAGCAGACAGTGCGACATCTACAAGCAGGACGACAGCTGTTTCATCTGGTTCGACGACACCAACAGCGTTCAGCAGTCGGGCTGCCTGAGCTCGTTCCGCAACCAGGATCTGGAGAGTGTCATCAAGACGAAGCGCATCTCCGTTTGCCAGGGCGACAACTGCAACGTGCTGACCAACATCCGGCACGTGCTCTGCGCCGTCTGCGACTCCCGCGTGGATCCCACGTGTGCGACCACGCCCCTGGCCATCGAGAGCTTCCAGACCTGCAGTCAGCTGCCACATACGCACTGTGTGACCAGGCTGGAGAACGGTAAGCCAGACAATCGATGTGAGTTCCCGGGGAGAGACTTTTCAAACGGTTCCTTTCAGATGGTGCTACGGCCCGAGGCTGCCTCTACGACCTGGATCAGACTCAGTTTGCTGACTGCCTGCTGGGCAACAACGAGAACTGCACAGTCTGTGCACTGGACGGCTGCAATCGCGAGGTGAGTTTCAATAGTTGTGCGACAGGCGATAGACTAAGCGACTCTGTTCCATAGATCTTCCCGGCCAATCGGCTACAGTGCTACGGCTGCAGCTCGGCGGACGACAGCAGCTGCACCTCCGATCCCGACCAGACCGCGGTCTGCCCCTGGGTCAGCGACACGGAAACCTGCCAAACGAAACTGGAGAACGGCGTGACGACGCGCGGCTGCAGCAGCGCCATCGGCTGCAGCAGCAGCGACTATCGCAACTGCCGCAGCTGCTCGGGCAGCGAGTGCAACTCGATTGACTTGCTGAACCGCGTGGACGACGGACAGCACGGCCTGTTCCAGCCGTTGCCCCTGAAGTGCCACGCCTGCGAGGGCGAGCACTGCCACAGCTCGTTGGGCCCGGCCGTGCAGTGCAGCCTGAATATCGAGCAGGACTGCAAGACGGTGTTCGAGCTGGATGGCGTGACGGTGCGCCGGCGCGGCTGTGCCGACGATGTGGACGACTACGAGGATCGCTATTGCCGCCGTAATCCCGAATTGTGTGTGAGCTGCAAGTCGAACGAGTGCAACGTTGCCTGGAGCACAGCCGAGCTGACCAGCTGCATCTACTGCAACTCGACGACAAATGCTCAGTGCGTCAGCTATCCGCAGAGCACAGAGCTGAGCACACGCCAGTGCCAGGGCAACTGCCTGGTGGCCCTGGTGCAGACGACTGTCATCCGCAGCTGTCTCGACGACAAGGAGCCCTTCGACCGGCCGGTCTGCAGCGATGATGGCAGCGGCACCACCTGCGCCGCCTGCGCCGGCGACAACTGCAACACATTCCCTTACCCAGCGGACCGTCTCAGCTGCCACGTCTGCTCAAACAGCGACTGCACCGCCAGCCATGCGGAGTACTGCACCGCGTACGTGGCGAACGACTTCTGCTTTGCCAAGTACAAGGACGGCAATGTGGAGCTGTTGGGCTGTGCGAGCACCCAGAGGAGCTCCGATCTGGATGAGTGGCGCTCGGCGAACCAGCTGTACGAGTGCAGTACCAAGGACTGCAATGTGCTGAGCGGCCTGCCAAGCAGCAGCATTTGCGTGGCCTGCGACTCGAGCAAGACGCCCAGCTGCGCTCAGGCGCCCACCGAGGTGGCCACCACGGCAACCTGCCACGCCCCCTTGACGGACTGCCTGACGCGACTGCAAGAGGGGCACACCATACGCGGCTGCCTGAACAGTCTGAGCAGCAGCGAGGGCAGCGCCTGTGTGGCCAACGGCACCTGTGTGGGCTGCGCCGGCGACAAGTGCAACGCCGACATATTCCCCGACGGCCGGCTCCGTTGTCACATCTGCAATTCAGTGGCCAACGAGGACTGCAGCGAGGATCCCAACCACCTGGCCGTCTGTCCCATCTATGCGGCCGACGACGCTTGTGTCTCGTCCCGCGATCACGATGGCTACATCCAGCGCGGCTGCAGAACCCAGGTGGAATGCGACGTCAACGACAGCGAGAACTGCATCCAGTGCTCCGAAATCGGCTGCAACACCGTCAAGTTCAATGGCGCCGCTGCCCTCGGCGGCATTGGCCTAGCACTCACGCTCGCCTGGTCGCTGATCGTCAGCTACAGCGGCAACTGAGCCACCCATCGATACGCCATGCCATAGCATTTAATTAAAATAGTTGTACATACGAAACAAAAACAAATCTAAATAAATTAAAACGAAAATATTTACAAACTTGCATTTTGAATTGCCCTTTGTGTAAGGATAACAATATTATTGGAGACTCGTGCGAGTTGCCTTCGGATTATCTAGGCATCCATCTCTATCTTCCTGTCTGCCTCTATTGCCTTGTCACCTCTTGAATCATATAATTTCCTAATCATATTTTCGTATCTCACCTCCACTCGATCTGTCGGAATCATTTGCGAAATTCAAATACAATTAAAATTATAGCGATTACGCCCATTTTCAATAGCAAGATATGTATAATACATTTTCAATGTACAATTTCTTAACACAATAATAAAAGAATTCCTCAGCTTTACACAACAATAAAGAAAATCCCATTTTTAATATCATCATTCCGTACTCAAAAAATCGTTAAAGGCAACAGAAAATTAAAAAAGTATTTAAAAATGCAAATCATACATAAAATTGAAGTCTTTAACAAAAAAAAGTTGATGTCAGTAGAAAATATATCCAAATATAACTAAATATTAAATACATATGTGAAAAGGCTTTAATAGTTGTATATCTTTGCTAAATTAAAACTAGTTATATATACTATATTATTACTAAATATGCATAATTATTATTTATCAATAAAAAATATATAAAGCTATATAATAATAATTTTAAAAAAATTATATAATAATTAATATAATAATAAATAATAAAATATAATATATAATAATTATTATATTGTATATATTCTGTTCCATGCTTATTAAACGGAATAAAATTCCTTTTCAAAAGCTCTTTTAAATTTGTATATCCCAAGGCTCCGAGATTGCTGAGATAAATATAGTTTAGTTTTATAATACAAATAAAATAAGTCACAAAGTCCTCATAAATTGTCTTTCAAGCCCTCTTTCAGACTTATGGGGCTATCTATAATATAAATTAAGTTTGTTGGCCACCAAAGGATCAAGTTTTATGTTACTCACGACTAAATAAAATTTATCTTAAGCCTCTATCATATCGCGATACAGTACAGTAGCTCTGCGCATTTCTTGTTTTTTTTTTTTTATTTATTTTTTTTTTTTTTTTTTTTTGTTGGTAATTTCGAATAAAATTGCTGACCACTAAATTGCGTTCATAAATCTAAGCGTAATTGCTTTCAGCCATGTCCAGCAATTAAGAGCAAATCAAATTGTTTGTCAACTTGTTTGTTGGCCATTTGGCCACTTCATTCGAATGGCGATAAGTTCATAAAGTGCCGCCAGTTGACCACACAAATTGTCAGCTGTGGCTAATCTTGATGGCCGCCACACCAAGTGGACAAATTGCAGTCGAACTGGGCGCTCGTTTTGGCCAAGTTACGCATTTATGTGCAGTCTATTGTGCCTAGCATTCGGACGTTACCTGAATTTTAATTTGTGCATTGTCCAGAGGCCGATGATGGGTTAAATCTTAAACTGCGCCAGTTTCCAGTGGTTGCGTTTGGCAATTTCTTCAAAACTTTTTGCCAGGTCGGCTTGGGTTGGGTTGGGTTCGCTTGGGCCCGGTTGGGTTGAGTTGCTATTCCTGGCTGCCAAATTTCACTTTTCAACTTTATTCGAGCACGAAATTGACGTGGCAGACGCACAAGGCTTTTGCCGTCTATTCCCTGAAGGCACTTTAAACGGAGTTTTGCCCACCAAAAGATTTTCGGCTCAAATGTTTCTATGTCTAGCCAGCCTGTAAACAAATAATATTAGCTTTTGGCAGATATGCATGTGGGATAATCATTGAGTATAATATAAGGCATAATAATGGACATTTTTTGAATATTTTGTTCTTTGGTACAGCAAACTGAAACTTCATATTGCTATAAACATTTAAGATTGGCGTCTTTAAATTGAATTTCAATATATAATATATAAATATGTTTTGCCTTACATTAATATATTATATTATTATGTATGTATACAATAAATTTAAAATGAATTTTTACATATTTAACATTTTTATTATATTATTTATTTAGGTATGTATATCATATATTATACTATTAATTATATATTAATAGATTTGATATTTTATTTATATATTTACTTTTATGTATGTTTAAATCTTAGGTTTCAAAATACTTTATTATATTATATATAAATTTAAAAAAAAAACATACAAATATAAATAAATATTTAACAATTAAATTACTACTATTTACTGTTTATTGGAATATTAAAATATTTTTATTTTTTAATTTTTAATTTCTTTTATTAAAATTTAAAAGTTAAAAAAAAAATATTTTCCCTAATAATCATTAATGATAAATATTATTTTTTTAAATTATTTTTATTTATAAATAAATACAAACATAAATAAATATTTTATATTTAAATTACTACAATTCATTATTGATTGTATCGTTAAAATATTCAGGAAAAATGAAAATTTCTTTTATTAAATTTTTTTTTTTATTGTAATCACATTGAAGTGCAGCTTCTCTTTGGCGACAAATGTCGGCACTCTGCAATGCCTGCAATGTTGCATGCAACAGATTGGCCCGCCTTGAGGCCCGTCGGTGTGTAACATCAGTGCAATTTATTTTCCATTGGCGGCTGGCAGTTAAACATTTTAATCAAATGACAGAGCTGAATATAATTTATTTGTTGCACATAATTTACAGCACACGACTCGCTGCCTGCCCAGTCCAGCCCAGGCAGCCAGCCACTGCAATGCTTTATTCAATTTGTTTGCTCTGTGGCGCGGACAGGCAACGAAAACAGAAACAGGCTACGCAGTGGGAGTTCCCAGAGTTTCCACAGTTGTCCATTTGGCTATTTGGGCAGTTATCAATTGCAGTTGGTTTGAACTAATAGATTTCATATGCAGCCTGTCGCTGTCAGCAACTGGCCGGGCGACTTGGGGCTCCAGGCCGTGTTCAGCCACAAACGGGGCCAAATAAATTGGCCAACAGCAGCCGGGTTAACGGGCGGTTTGTTGTGACAGCTGCATGCAGTTATCAGCTGCGATTGCGATTACAGCAGCAGCCAACGGAGGTGGCAGGTGCCCAAATCTATAAAGGAAAATATTTATTTCATTTCTTATAAGGAAATAAAATTAATGTAAAATTAAAATTAATTTAAAAAGTAATCATTTCAAACATGTTAGATTTTTTATTTATTTATTATTATTATTGTTATTGTTTTTTTTTTTTTTTATCAAGCCCTTGTCTCCGCTCCACTTTTCTAATATTTTCAAAAAAAATTATTTAAAAAAATATATGAATTCAAAATAATTTATTATAATAAAAACATAATTTTATCACTGAATTATACTGAATTATTAATCACATATGAATTCATTATAATTTATTATAAAATTATAATTTATTCATTATATTATAATAATAATAAATAAGGTAAAAACACAATGAAATTTTATTTTGAAATTACAGAAACAAGACAGTTGGATTTTATTGATCATTTTGAATTCTGCAAATCGATTCTTCTTGTTCATACTAAAATTATGACAGTCTTTGAGTCATGAATATGAATTTATTACAACTAGATATAATTCTGCTATAGACCTTATACTTCTAAAAACCAATCAATTTTCCATGTCCATGATATGTTACAAGCCTAAAAGGTGTTCCTAAAGAGAAACATACAAAATAATTTGTAAAATTGTAGCTCACTTGAGAATATATCAATATCACAGTATTTTGAGCGCATCGCTCTATTTAGATACCACTTTCCGTAGGCCAACTTTCTTGGATGGCTTGAGCACAAAGAACGAGCACATTAGCGACTCATCGACGGACATCATGGCGCCGGCATTATCGAATTCGCCGCAGTAGTTCGGGGCCGAGAAGATGGTGATTAGCTGGCGCTTGGCAAAGAACTCGTAGCCATCCTCGACGACCTGATGGGCGCGGCAGACCAGATCGAACTTGAAACGATGCACAAACTTGCCCACCGTGTCCGCACCGAAGGTGACGCTCACGCCGCGATCGTTGTCGCTCCAGCCCATGATCTTGGCATCCGGATCGGCCCAGAGCAGGTCGCAAAGCAGGCCCTTGTCGGGCACCTCGCAGGGGCGCTGCAGCTTGGTGATTTGCGCCATGCTGTTCAGCTCGGGACTGAGGCCGCCGTGACAGCAGAAGATCTTGGTGTCCACAATGGCCGCCACTGGCATGCAGTTGTAGCAGTCGACAAAGGTGCGCCACAGCTTGATCGTGTAGCGCCGCTTGCACTCGTCGTAGAAGCCATAGATGCGATTGATGCCAGCGCTTTCGTGATTTCCACGCAGCACAAAGAAGTTCTGCGGAAACTTGACCTTGTAGGCCAGCAGGAGGCACAGCGTCTCAATCGATTGCTTGCCTCGATCAACGTAATCGCCCAGAAACAGATAGTTCGAGGCTGGCGGATAGCCGCCGTAGTCGAACATGCGCAGCAGGTCCGTAAACTGGCCATGCAAATCGCCGCAGATCTTTACCGGCGCCGAGAGCTCCAGCAGCATGGGCTGCTGGAGAAAGACATCTCTGCAGCGCAGGCAGAGCGCCCGTATGTCCGCCTCGGTGAGATGCAGCTGCTTAACGCGACGCACCTCGATAATTGTCAATATCATCTGATCAATGTTCGCCGGATCGAGCATGCCGGAGTTACGGTGCTGCTGGCCATTGTGTGGTGGTGTCGTCGCGTGTGTCATTCCGAAAGGGGCCTTTGATTCAGATACGATCGCAACTCCTTGAGCTTACGAGATTTTGACTAGGTAGCGCACAATTTGATCGATTGCAAACATATGAGATGAGTTCAGGAATCCGCTTGTGTAGTTGAAATGGTAGAAAATGTGTGTTCGATGTGACAATCAATCCTGACAGATGCCGCACGGCATCCGAGCCGTTGGGATTCGGTGTGCTCAGTTTATGATTAGGGCACTGCGCTCTTTCGTCTGTGATTTGCGTTCCTTGGATGATCTCTTCTTGGATGGCCGCAGCACGTCAAACGTAATCACCAGATCCTTATCGACGCCCATTGATGCTCCGGCATTATCGAACATGCCGCAGTAATTGGGCGCCGAGAATATGGTGACCAGTTGACGTTTGGCAAAAAACTCATAGCCATCTTCGACGACCTGATGGGCCCGACAGATCAGATCGAAATCAAATTTGCGCAGGAATCTATCAATCACATCGCGTCCAAAGAGGAAACTAACCCCACGATCACTGGCCGTATAGCCGAACTTGTAAATATCCGGATCGCTCCACAGCAGATCACACATGAGACCCTCCTCCGGCACGTCGGCGGGGCGAATCAGCGCATTAATGTCGTCCAACTTGGTTAGGCTTTGGCTCAAGCCACCGTGACAACAAAAGATCCGATCCGATATTATCGCTGCCACCGGCATGCAGTTGTAGCAGTCGACAAACGTCTTCCACAGCTTGACCGTGTAGCGGCGCTTGCATTCGTCGTAGAATCCGTAGACCCGATTTAGGGCCTGCGACTCGTGGTTGCCGCGCAGCAGGAACACTTTATTGGGATAGATGAGCTTGAGGGCCAGCAAGAGCGTTATCGTTTCCACCGAGTTCTTGCCCCGATCCACATAGTCGCCCAGAAACAGATATGTGGCTTCAGGCGGGTATCTGCAGTGCTCCAGCATGCGCAGCAGATCTGAGAACTGGCCATGTATATCCCCAACGACGCGCAACGGAGCCTCCACATGCAGCAGCATCGGCTCATCGAGGAACAACTGTCGTGTCGCGTGGCACAAGTTGGCGATATCCAGTTCGATCAATGGCTGATGCGATTTGCTTGACCGGAACCCCTTCAGCCTCCTTATAATTTCGATGACACAGCTCCTCACTTCCATTGAGAACGACGAGCCTCTGCGCCCATTGTCATAAGGCTTCTTGCGGCTGTCCGATACGCGTGGAGCTGGCGCCCCCATCTTCAAACCACCTTTAGTTTATTGTCTTCTTTTGTTTTTGTTTTTGTTTTTTTTTTTTTTTTTTTTTTTTCAAGTTAATATTTCAAAATCTAAACTGAGATCTGTCAAACTGAAACAATTAAAATAATCTGTTCAGAATGCAATTAGAAACTTTTCAATTACTTGACCATGGAAATTATAAAAAATAATAACAAATCTTAATAATTAGTGAGAAACTCAATTATATATTAATTCAATTATGTATTTCATTTATTATATAGTATATTGAATTTTCAGATATATTTCGTTGCGTTATTTTTTGACTGTGTGAAGAAATATGTATTCCTAAACATTTAAAAATTTAATTTAAATTTGTATTTTATTTTATACTCGACGAACACCTAATTTAACACTATATGTAACTCTACCCATGTTGGAATTTAAAACTCTTAATGTTCTTTTTATTTTTTTTATTTTTTATTTTTATTTTATACATATAATAAAAATTTTACTTCAGCTGCCAGAATTAATATATTTTTGCCTACCATTTGTATATGTTTTCTTTGATTATCTTGCATATATTTAATTATTTGCATTTTTTTTGTAATTTATGGTAAAAGTGTGCTGGCTTTCGGCTGCCTTCCCATGCAAGTCAGCTTGCTATATTGTGTCTGCCATCTTTTAATTTCCGCTTTCTCGCACCTCAAACGCGACAAGTTGTCAATGCCATTTGTGGCTGGGCAATGAATCCATGCATCCACTCACTGGATGGCCCACACACACACACACATGTGTCATCAATGTGGCTGACAGTGCTGCATTTCATCATTTGCAGCAATTGCCGTAGTCGCAGCCGCAGCAAGTTTATTGTGAGAGGTGCGTACGTGCCTTTGTCGTTTATTAGTTTACGCTGGACACGGTTGGTGTCCAAAGGAAATTAAAATAATTCAAGCATTAAATTCAATTTCATTTTTGCAGCTGCAAAAAATTACGACATGCGCAAACTCAAGAGATTATTTAAGAACGAGAATTGCTTTTTCTTAAAACTGAGCAAATTTATATTATATATTTTTTTATAGCATGAGCAAAAGTGAGAATTGAGAGTATGTGGTGATGAAAAATATATTCAATATAATCAGTTGATTAAATAAAATATTAAGGGATTAATCTAAAGCTTGTGTGAATCGTCCTGAGCTAATAGGAAAATCTAATAATGCTACAAAAAACATCTCTGTTTATATGAATCAAAGTGATGACCATAGTTTCATCTAGGTATTAAATTTTATTTATTTATATATTTATATTTTTATTATTGAATAAATTTTCTAAGCATTAAAATAATGTAAATACTATACGTATGTGTATATTTTTGTTAGAGCTAAGAAATTTTATCTAATAATATATAAATAAATATATATTCATAACAATAAAATACCTAAATGAAACCTTGTACATCACTTGTATCAACTATGTGCTTTTCCCACATGCAAATTGCCAATTGCATAACATTCGCATATGAGAAACAAAAGATTTCTTTTTAAACAAACTTAAAATATGCTCTTATACAACTTTTTATATATTTTAATTTTTTTCCCCACATTTCTCTGTTCTTTATCGGAGCGCACATTCCACTGGCAATAGAAAACAATTTCAATTCCAACAATTTATGCCAGTTAAACAAATTTAATCCTTCGTGCAGGCAAAAAAAAAAAAAAAAAAAAAAAAAAGAAGCAGCTGGCACAAAACTAAATCCAGACAATTGAATTTGTTGCGGTGATGTTTTATATGGACTCGCAATATATATATATATATTCCTGATGTACTAAAAAGTATATACGTATATATAATGTATATACATGTGTGTGTACAATGTGTAAGGTACATATATATTTTTGAGCTCTGCTCGCTGTGTGGTATTATTTAAATTGAATTTTCAAATTAAGTTTATTGTGCTGCAGCGCACAGAAATTTATATTCTATGTGCGATTATTGTTTCGCCTCTTGCTCGTTTTTTGTATTTTTCCGACGTTTTTTAACGAAGGGCTTCGCTGGGCTTATGCTATATTTATTTATGGCCAGCGACTTGTTTTGCTGTGCCCGCTGCGCCCTGGTTGAGCCACGTGTCAGGTCTAGGGATTGGATGGGCATATTCGTATTTTATTGTATTGACTGCGCCTCAATTGAAACAATTGAGCAATTGATTTGCATGCATAGAATTTGTAACTGGGATTTCCGTTCAATGATTTATGGCCACGCGTATTGCATTTCATTTGATTCTCTACAATAATTCACAATTGGCAAATACTCACTAAATAACAACAGAAAAGGAAGTTTTCAAATTAAAGACAGCAGAGCTAAGAGTTTGCTTGAGCTGTGCAATTTACAATGTGTGAGACATTAGTTAGTGTGTTAGGATATGTGAGGTATTAGAAGATTTGAATGATTTATTTTATTATTTTGCGTAGACACAAGAAAAGCAGAGATTCCATAATCAAATTGATATCAAGTAAGTAATGAAAGGCATGGAGAGAATATATAATCGAATAGATACAAATTAAACTAGGCCTACTTCTGTTAACGCTAATGCAAACTAACAAACTAATTTAACGTGATTTTATCAATATTTAATTGAAATGTAAATTTATTCTGAGCCATTCATATGGCTTACATATCATAGACTATGTAATCTACATTTTCCATTTAGGTTTTAGTTTTAGCTCTAATATATGCCAAGCCTTTGCCAACAAAATGTTTAGCCCTAGTCCAGATGTAAGCTGTCTCCTATCTTTACATTTTTATATATATAAATATATTCTTTCTTTTATTTTATTTTATTTTTTTCAGATTGTCTATCTGGCAAACATCACGCATACGCACTGTCGTGCATTGCACCCAATTTACATTTACTTGGCAAATCGTTAACAATTTTTGCGCAGCGTCTAGTTGGCACCATTTGGTCAGCCAAACAAAAAGAAGGCAACAGCTGAAAGCGGGCATAGGCGACTGCACAATACTTGCTCACATATGAATGTGTGCTGACAAAGACTGAAGGTAAGGGTCGAGACTCTGCTGAGTTATGCCAAGCATTGTGGAAGAAATAGACTAACAGAAAAACTTCTATATATGTGAATAAATATATGAATTTTTCAGCTTGCTCATATTAATACCTTCAGTTTCTATAACAATAGATAGCAAAGCTAATATGCACCTATTTACACTGCAAGTAGAGTATACAGCATATTTATATATATTTCTATATGTATTTCTATACGTATACAAATAAATTAAAAATCATATAAAAACGGACAACGCACTGCAGATCGCGTTTAGCTGGCGCCTAGGGACCGGAGCCGCCGTCTCAATGACGCCTATGGGCCAACAACCCGTTGGCCACGCATTTTCCCTGAAATCCATGTGGCTCGCTCGCACAATTCTTGACTGCACAAAACTAAATGGAGAGCTTGATGGGAAATAAATGTATTTAGGAAATGGACAGCATGACTGGCCGAAATAAAAAATTGTGCAGAGCTGGCGAAAATTGTACACGAAAAACGGGAAAACGGAAAGCGGTCAATGGAAAATGTAGCACACATGAATGTAACATAAATAAAGCCAAGAAGTGTCAGCCCGCGTTCAATGTGTGTCAGCAGGCGCTTTAAAGAGTAAGCGAAACATTAGAGATTTCAATTGGAAATTTTTAGATAATTTAACTTAAATATGCAGTTTTTGGAAAAACTCTTGCAAATGCTAATTTATTGCCTGGGAGTCAGTGTGCACTGCCGTCACGTAAATCGCTCCAGTTGCAGGTGGTTTCAGTTCCAGCTGTTGCCGCACTCGGCCCGTGGAACGTGTCGCGTGGAACAGCTTGCAACATGAGCTTGCCACCGCCTACGCATGGCTACTCTAAGCTGAATATTAACCGTGGACCCGAGCCGACTGCACTTATCGTTTTAATTATCCCGCACGTAATGCGCCGACAGCTGGCGAGGTGCGAGCTTAGTTGCAACAACTATTTGACCAGGGCAGGTGCACGGGCGGGGCAGGTGCCGGGGTCAGAGTACTACAGGTAATTAGCATCAAGTGCCAGCCGGTTAGTGCATATAAATTAATGAAATAGACACGCGCGAGGCGGTCAGTGAAATGCATTTGCTAACCGAAAAGCTACTACACATTACTACAGACCCAAAGTGCATAATTTATGGAACGAAATGATAAACGAAATGGACCAGCGATTACATGATAATGTGTGCAAAAGGAGGCAAATTAATGTGAACGCCTAGAACTAGGCAACAACTATGCGTCTAAGACGACAATTTATTGGGGCAAGTCAACTTTCGGGTACAGTAGTACAAACAACCCTCCACTAAGCCGGTCAGCCGGTCAGCTGGTCAAGGGGTCAGCTCCCCGCCTCCTGCCCAGGACAGGGCTAAACGATGCTGACATAGACGACAAGCACTTGGACATCGACGGGTGCCAATTTTCTGTTGATTACACGACAACAGTGTTGCGTTGTGTGCACTGCCCACCCTTGCCGAGAGGGTGTGTGAGTGGGTGGTGGTGTCATCAATGGGTGGTGCCGTGACAAGGGTCAAATGAAAGTTTTACGAGCACTCGCCAGCATTTAAACTACACCCAAACTGGTGCGGCTGTTGCTGTTGTTGTTGTTGTTGTTGTTGTTGGGTTTTACTTTATTTATTTTAAGTTTAATTCGTTTGGTAGCTAAAAAGGAAATTGGTTCAAGTGGAACAGACGAGCGGGAAATCAGCTAAATAGATTTATCTAGTGAAAGTTTATCACCTGCCGGGCTAAAAAGTGTGAAACGTCCATGAAAGTTGCTCCAGCTGCGACTGACACTTTCAAAATTGGGCTTAGACGGAAGTAGAGACAGAGTGAGGGAGAGAGAGAGAGAGACTTTGATTTCATACAATGATAGAATAGAGTAGACTTTAAGCTCAAGTATGAGCGATTATTTATTGAAATCGACTTCAATGGACAGCAGCAGTTAAAGCATAACTAGTGCAGGGCAAAGAGTGAAACTATGCCATTAAATCTGAGCCCAGGCAGAAGCCCCATTATAAATCTTCAG